AGTACAAAACAAATTCTGGCCACAAAATAGAGCGAAACACCAACGTCAAAGACCTGGGAGTGATCATGTCGGAGGATCTCACCTTCAAGGACCATAACATTGTATCAATCGCATCTGCTAGAAAAATGACAGGATGGATAATGAGAACCTTCAAAACTAGGGAGGCCAAGCCCATGATGACACTCTTCAGGTCACTTGTTCTATCTAGGCTGGAATATTGCTGCACACTAACAGCACCTTTCAAGGCAGGTGAAATTGCCGACCTAGAAAATGTACAGAGAACCTTCACGGCGCGCATAACGGAGATAAAACACCTCAATTATTGGGAGCGCTTGAGATTCCTAAACCTGTATTCCCTGGAACGCAGGAGGGAGAGATACATGATTATATACACCTGGAAAATCCTAGAGGGACTAGTACCGAACTTGCACACGAAAATCACTCACTACGAAAGCAAAAGACTTGGCAGACGATGCACCATCCTCCCAATGAAAAGCAGGGGTTTCACTGGCACGTTAATAGACTATGCAATAAGTGTCAGGGGCCCGAGACTGTTCAACTGCCTCCCAGCATACATAAGGGGGATTACCAACAGACCCCTGGCAGTCTTCAAGCTGGCACTGGACAAGCACCTAAAGTCGGTTCCTGACCAGCCGGGCTGTGGCTCGTACGTTGGTTTGCGTGCAGCCAGCAACAACAGCCTGGTTGATCAGGCTCTGATCCACCAGGAGGCCTGGTCACAGACCGGGCCGCTGGGGCGTTGACCCCCGGAACTCTCTCCAGGTAAACTCCAGGTAAGATTTAATATAAGTCTGCCCGAAATGCCTAGCCATGCTAGGCGTTCTAGTGGTACACTCTGTAATTATTATTTTACTACATGTAAACCACACAATAACCAAATTCTGTAAACTCAGCATTGTAATACTTATAGAGAATAAAGTTTGAATTGAATTGAATTGAATATTAAACTTTCACTCTGAGTGAGGCCTTTACAGGGATACGCCACACTACGACTTTTCATGATATTTTTGTGTGATTCCTGGTGTCATTCCACCCAACCTTCATTTTATTAGTCGAAAACCCATCATGTGTGATGGAATATGGCACAAGTCCATCCTGTGTAATGCAGAGTGAAAGTAAAATCCATCGTTTGACTGAATATGACAGGAATATACACCTGTGTGATGGAAGATGACAGCAAAATCCAGAGCTTGTGATAGAACATGACAGAAAACCTATCTTGTGTGATGGATTATGACAAAAATTCCCATCCTCATTGTTGGGATATTACAGGAAAATCTACCCTGTGCGATACTATGTAAAAGGAAAACCATGCGTTATGGAGTGTGGCGGGAAAGCCATAGTGTGATGGAATATGATAGAAAAATCACTCACTCGTTCTGCGAATTGTCACTCGCAGAACGAATAGATTTGCAACCCAATCCTAAAACTGGCAGGTCGTGGAGTATGACAGTATAAATCATGCTGTATGAAGGAGCATTACAGTAAAACCATCCTGCATGACTGACCATGACAATAAAAATCACATGTTATCAACCACCTAGCAAAAGAGGTTTTGCTAGGTGGCTGAACACTGAAGACACCTTGATTGCTCAACAGTATTTATGTATCTTAATATTTGCTTCCAGACATGTTCGCCTAACTCTATCACCCTCTGAATTTAGTCTTGTCCCATGACATGATGTGTAAGTCGTGTTACGGTTCACACATTTGTGTTGTGGAAGTGTGTCTTGACGGCTACGTTCAGTCCCACCAACATAATACCTGTTGCACCCTGCAAGGAAGATAATGTAAAAGTCGGCTGTAGGAAGATTCGTAGAATAATTTTTAGGTTTCCTATAGACTTGATAAAGCTTCTTCCTGAGTGAAAAGTTGTCTAGAATAAAGACTTGCTTTGCTTAGCGTGTCTTTATAACCGCTTGTCGATTTGTTGCACAAGTCACTACCTGGACCTGATGAACAATGAGAGGATTTCGTAAAACCTGATTGATTTAGCATCCATATTGATATGAATCATATTAGTGAAGTTCTAGCTATCACCTCTACAAATATTATAACAATTTCTTACATTAAAGTCATTAATCATAAGCTAAATTGCTGCAGTATACAAAATGACCTATATATTGCAAACCATAATATTATATTAAAATATCCTTACTCTATAACTGTTATTAGTTATAAGTTAATTAAAGGCTACCCTACGTGTCTTGGCCTTGTCTTTGTATGGTTAATATTTACGTAACTGTTATGTTTAAATGAGTTTGTATTCTTGATGTCATGTATTTGATTTACTTAGTTTATCCGAATTTCATTACTCAAGTGTATTTGGTTTTACTAACAACTATGACGTAATTTTATTGTATCTAATAGTTAGATTGCAAGGATCACAATTGGAATGTCACTTTGTCGAACTTTTTTGAATTATGCTCGGCAATTTGCACTTATATTTCTATGTTAGAAAATTCTGAATAATCCAAAATCGCTTAAATTGAACCTTAAGAAGCTTACTTTTATCTTATTGAGTCCGACTGTATAGTGAGTATGTTTGTTAATGTCATCTTCCCAACGAATTGTAAACTATTCTTTATAAAAACAAAGTTTATCATTTATGAGTTGAGAGAAAAATCGCAGTGTGATGGATGTGTTAGGTTAGGTCAGGTAAGATCCTTCAGGAGACACTGAAGTATGTTCATTTAGGTGCAGGTACACATAAGTACAATAATAATACATAGTGTAAATTATTTAGGATAACCCAAAGATGTCAGAGAGAGTGACTTATTTCCAAATGTTTCCTGATGCGGGTACTCAAAATAGCAAGGGTCACCCCGATCCACAAAGGAGGAGACCAAACAGAGTTGAATAACTATAGGCCAATATCCAACTTACACCCTCTCTCAAAAATCTTCGAAAAATTAATTCATAAACGAATCTACTCCTACCTTATCTCCCAAAACATACTCAACCCCTGCCAATTTGGATTCAGGCCTAATAAAAATACTAATGATGCTATTATACACATGCTAGAACATATATACACTGCAATAGAGAAAAAAGAAGTCCCACTGGGGATCTTCATTGACTTACGTAAAGCTTTTGATACAGTTGACCATGACTTGCTCCACGTAAAATTGTCACACTATGGTATAAGAGGGCACTCCCTCAACTACCTCAAGTCTTACTCAGCAACAGAAGCCAATATGTGTACGCAAATGGGGCAAACTCTTCTGCACAACCAATTACAGTTGGTGCCCCACAGGGAAGTGTCCTTGGCCCTCTTCTCTTTCTCCTATACATAAATGACCTTCCAAATGCTTCGCAATTACTCAAACCCACACTATTTGCAGATGACACTACATACGTCTTCTCTCACCCGAGCCCAGTCACGCTAGCCAATACTGTAAATACCGAATTACAGAAAATATCTACCTGGATGAGGACTAACAAACTTACACTAAACATTGACAAAACCTACTTCATTCAGTTTGGTAACAGAGCTACAGATGTCCCTCTTAACATAATGATAAATGGATCACCTATCACAAAACTAACAGAGGGAAAATTCTTAGGAATCCACCTTGATAATAGACTCAAATTTCATACACATATACATCAAATTTCTAAGAAAATTTCCAAGACTGTAGGCATACTATCGAAGATACGGTACTATGTTCCACAGTCAGCCCTCCTGGCCCTATATCACTCTCTTATTTACCCCTATCTCACCTATGGAATTTGTGCATGGGGCTCAACAACAATTAACCATCTCAGACCACTAATTACCCAACAAAAGGCTGCAGTTAGAATGATAACAAATTCTCACTACAGGCAGCACACTCCACCAATATTCAATACACTAAACCTACTCACCATACAAAACATCCATACTTATTACTGCACCTATTACATACATAGAACACTTAACTCTGATATTAACCCTCCCCTCAAACATCTCCTTGCCAACCTCAACAGAACACATGACCATAACACAAGGCACAGATCACTCTTTGATGTTCCTCGTGTCCATCTCACACTATGCAAAAACTCAATGCACATAAAAGGCCCTAAAATCTGGAATTCATTACCTGTAAATATAAAAGAAACACAACCTGTTTATAAATTCAAGTCTCTTCTCAAAGATTACTTACTCACCCAAAACCAAATAAATACTGAATAACTGAACATTATAAATTGTATATCTTAAATGTTTCTCACAATTATATCACATAAATGTTAAACCTAAAACCCAATCTAACTTATTATTTTTTAAATACACTACCTAACAGAATCACTACCTAACTGAATGCAACCATATGACCTGTCTTTGTAATACTCACTTGTGCTTTATAGTTATCTGTTTACATTAATGTTTTATCACTGATTTCATCATTGCTTAGTAGCAGCGCTTTATAGTCCTTGTGGCTTAGCGCTTCTTTTTGATTATAATAATAATAATAATCATTGCTTAGTTAATCTTAAGTTAATTTTAAGCCAGCCCGTAATGCTATGCATAGTATAAGTGGCTTTGGCATACTGCTCTTATCTGTATTTTTTTGTACCTCTGTATGTGTGCACAAATTGGAAATAAATAAATAAATAAATAAATAAATAAAAATGATGACCCATCACTGGAGCTTTTTGGTCATCTGACCGAGACTTTCCACTGGCTTACCCTTCCACCCTTTACAAATTAAGATTATTAATAATCTGTGTGTGTTAAATAATACCCAGGCATAATAGAGGCTCTCTTTGCACTGCAACCCATTATTCTAAATACATAACCTCAATGTACTACTAGTAAATAAATAAATAAATTTGAATTTGAATTTGAATGGCTACTGTAAGAGTTTGTGTGGCCCAAAAACCCTCGCAGACCCCTTAAACCCATCATTAACCACTACAATACAATACAAAATAAACACAATCAAAGTTAAAACTTATATTAAAACATATTAAATTGAGTAAAACTATTTATTCAATCTGTTTGTTTACCCATATACTATTTATGTCCTTAGTAATGTAGAGAGTACGAGGTAGTGAAGAGTGTGAGGAGCCTGGCACTGGTCATGCGTAGGACGGAGGCATCACCATGAAGACACCAAAAACTCCGGATAAATTAAGCCCGTCGCGGTTTTCAAAGGTAATACGTTTTACAGGATCGTATTGTGGAAATTTTAAACCCCACCAAGACTATTAATTAGGGCCGAGGAGGGTGTTACGTGTGATTGTGTGTGAGGCTTCCATCATGGTTGATGTTTATGGCATCACCATAGTTTTATAACTTAATTTTTCTAAAACCATTCTGGTCCACTGCACAGTTCATGCAGAAAGTTATGCATATATATTGTTTGGTGAATAATGCAACATTAAATTTGCTTTATAGTACTGTAGGAATACAAATTAATCGATTACCAAATTTAGGTAGATCGCTAGAAAAAGTTACATAATTAAACCGGAGGACCAACACCACCTCTGTACATTAAGAATAATAGACTATAATGATTGTCGAAAACAGTATGAATGATATGTTTGTGTAGAATAGGCTCAGGACTGCTCTTCACTGCTGGCCTTCAAGCCTCAAGGTAAAATACACACGTTCTTACAAGTGTGTTTCTGGCTTCGTGTAGGCCTAGAATGTAAGTAAATGTAAGTAACTAGCCAGATACTAGACGGTAAAAAAGTTCAGACATGAAGTTTTGAGAAGATTTAATTCCAATAGGCTGGAAAAATTTAATTCGAATAGACTCAGAAGATTTAATTCAAATAGGCTGGGAAGATTTAATTCAGATATGCTGGGAAGATTTAATTCAGATAGGCTGGGAAGATTTAATTCAGATAGGCTGGGAAGATTTAATTCAGATAGGCTGGGAAGATTTAATTCAGATAGGCTGGGAAGATTTAATTCAGATAGGCTGGGAAGATTTAATTCAGATAGGCTGGGAAGATTTAATTCAGATAGGCTGGGAAGATTTATATCAGATAGGCTGGGAAGATTTAATTCAGATAGGCTGGGAAGATTTAATTCAGATAGGCTGGGAAGATTTAATTCAGATAGGCTGGGAAGATTTAATTCAGATAGGCTGGGAAGATTTAATTCAGATAGGCTGGGAAGATTTAATTCAGGTAGGCTGGGAAGATTTAATTCAGATAGGCTGGGAAGATTTAATTCAGATAGGCTGGGAAGATTTAATTCAGATAGGCTGGGAAGATTTAATTCAGATAGGCTGGGAAGATTTAATTCAGATAGGCTGGGAAGATTTAATTCAGATAGGCTGGGAAGATTTAATTCAGATAGGCTGGGAAGATTTAATTCAGATAGGCTGGGAAGATTTAATTCAGATAGGCTGGGAAGATTTAATTCAGATAGGCTGGGAAGATTTAATTCAGATAGGCTGGGAAGATTTAATTCAGATAGGCTGGGAAGATTTAATTCAGATAGGCTGGGAAGATTTAATTCAGATAGGCTGGGAAGATTTAATTCAGATAGGCTGGGAAGATTTAATTCAGATAGGCTGGGAAGATTTAATTCAGATAGGCTGGGAAGATTTAATTCAGATAGGCTGGGAAGATTTAATTCAAATAGGCTGGGAAAATTTAATTCGAATAGGCAAGATGTTGCAGTGCTCCATGAATTTTGCAGAGTAAAGAGAAGTGCAAAAAGATGTAAAAAGAGGAAAAGGCAAGGTACAATATTTGTAAAACTGAAAAACATAGAAACATTCCTTGTAAGCTTTAGTAACAAATAAAAGCCTGTGGGTATAATCATAAAATAGTAGGTTGTTTTAACCTAATGTTAAATATTGATAACGAGGTATGCCACGAAGGATCTTGAGTTGCAAGTTTCAGCCAGTGGATTGTCATTATCAACAGCTTGGTTTAACAGGTAGTCATCAGAAAAGCCTGGCCCCAAGCTGAGCTGTGTGGGTAGAAAAACTCAAAGCCTCTGGTATATAAAGGTATACTGTATTATAAAAGTTTACAATTATGTATGAGGCCTAAATAAAAATTCATTGTAATAGGTATCTCTTCTCAATTCCAGAGCACAGTATAACCCACAAAGGTTTAGTGTGTTTTAATATAATATTGTCTGTTCTAGAGTGTACATTTCAAATGTTTGAGACATTCCCAGTACATTAGATATTATTTTGATTCTCTTCATGGAGAAAACTGCATCTATATTTTCCAGCTCTGATATTCTTTTTGCTTTAAAAGGAGCTGTGATCACAGAATAATATTCTAGTATAAAGAGTGCCATAAATTTAAAAAGTGCTATCATTTGAATGTTCCCATAATCTATCTTTTTTGTGTGTGTGGCCTTTGCTGCATTTGCTGCCTTATTATCTACTTCAATGATTTGACTGCATTCTGTATACTTTGCTGATTTTGAGTTCATTGTTCTTTTCATATTTAAGCTAATGGAAGATTTTGTTGATATCCATAATTTTTGTTTCCTCTTCTAATGTGACATTCTCTCTTAATTTGGTGTTCTCAGGTAAGGATAATATAAAGTGGTGAGAGTAGCAGTGTGCCAAGTCTGCCAAGTACTTTGCAAAAACCTGGCTCATTTTGTTTACTGTTCTTTAATATGATTGTCAAATATCTGAAGTGGCAAAATAATTTAGTGCATTTCTTCTGTTATTGCTCTTTATCTTATTTGCCTGGAGTTTACCTGGAGAGAGTTCTGGGGGTCAACGCCCCCGCGGCCCGGTCTGTGACCAGGCCTCCTGGTGGATCTGAGCCTGATCAACCAGGCTGTTGCTGCTGGCTGCACACAAACCAACGTACGAGCCACAGCCCGGCTGGTCAGGAACCGACTTTAGGTGCTTGTCCAGTGCCAGCTTGAAGACTGCCAGGGGTCTGTTGGTAATCCCCCTTATGTATGCTGGGAGGCAGTTGAACAGTCTCGGGCCCCTGACACTTATTGTATGGTCTCTTAACGTGCTAGTGACACCCCTGCTTTTCATTGCGGGGATGTTGCATCGTCTGCCAAGTCTTTTGCTTTCGTAGTGAGTGATTTTCGTGTGCAAGTTCGGTACTAGTCCCTCTAGGATTTTCCAGGTGTATATAATCATGTATCTCTCCTGCCTGCATTCCAGGGAATACAGTTTTAGAAACCTCAAGTGCTCCCAGTAATTGAGGTGTTTTATCTCCGTTATGCGCGCCGTGAAGGTTCTCTGTACATTTTCTAGGTCAGCAATTTCACCTGCCTTGAAAGGTGCTGTTAGTGTGCAGCAATATTCCAGCCTAGATAGAACAAGTGACCTGAAGAGTGTCATCATGGGCTTGGCCTCCCTAGTTTTGAAGATTCTCATTATCCATCCTGTCATTTTTCTAGCAGATGCGATTGATACAATGTTATGGTCCTTGAAGGTGAGATCCTCTGACATGATCACTCCCAGGTCTTTGACGTTGGTGTTTCGCTCTATTTTGTGGCCAGAATTTGTTTTGTACTCTGATGAAGATTTAATTTCCTCGTGTTTACCATATCTGAGTAATTGAAATTTCTCATCGTTGAACTTCATATTGTTTTCTGCAGCCCACTGAAAGATTCGGTTGATGTCCGCCTTGAGCGTTGCAGTGTCTGCAATGGAAGACACTGTCATGCAGATTCGGGTGTCATCTGCAAAGGAAGACAATTATTTTATAACTTAAGTCATTAGAAGTAAAAATTGCAGGAGTCAAGATAAGATAAGATAAGATTTCGTTCGGATTTTTAACCCCGGAGGGTTAGCCACCCAGGATAACCCAAGAAAGTCAGTGCGTCATCGAGGACTGTCTAACTTATTTCCATTGGGGTCCTTAATCTTGTCCCCCAGGATGCGACCCACACCAGTCGACTAACACCCAGGTACCTATTTGCTGCTAGGTGAACAGGACAACAGGTGTAAGGAAACGTGTCGAAATGTTTCCACCCGCCGGGAATCGAACCCGGGCGGGAGCTTTAGCCACCAGGCCATAGCTTTGCTTTGTAATAACATAAATAAATATTATTACAATATTGTCTGTAGAAGTATATAAGTTATACAGATTTTATGAGAAGCCCCTAGTATGCACAGCATTTTGGGCAGACTTAAACTAAGACTAAAACTACTTAACATTGTGCTGAAAAATATATGGTTGTGGAGTTGTTTAAGCTTCAGTTCAATGCCAGTTATTAGCAGGGTACTAGGAAAAGAAGAAAACTTGTAGCATCTGGTCACAGCTTACAAGCAAAAAGAATTGCTTGGCAATAAGATTTATTTATGTTTTAAGTCAGAGGTTAAAGATTGTCAATAAATTAAATAATTGGGGCAGGATTAAATGAAGACATGGGGGGTACATAGTGAGATTAAAAAGATAGCAGCAAAATATAATATTCTGATAATTAAAGGACTCCATTTTTAAAAAGATTTGTTTTAGGGCATTTGATTTCCAAACTTGCATAAAAAAAAAATTTTGACTTTTGACTACGACCTTTAGTTGGACTGTATATTGTACATATGTCAGTGTTTCACTTTATTTCAGTATTTTTTTCCACAGTTAATATGAGACACTATTTGCCATTTGTAAACAACACATCTTTTTTTTTCCTAGCTGTGACAAGTTTGTATTTCACCATATACCTCCATCATGTGGCTATATAATGTTAATAATAAGTATTTACATAAGCCTCTTATTGACCAATGTACATATACCTCCATCACATGGATATGTAGTGTTAATAAGTGTTTACATAGGCCTCTTATTGACCAATGTAAATTGTTAAAAAATTGTACTTAAAAACAGCACATATCTTAGGTATAATTGTCCATTAAATAGTGTTAACCTAGTTGAGCTGTTGTTATTTGTATGCTGCTGTCATTTCCTGTGTGAGCATATCCTGTTTTACCAGCCAGATAAAAATGAGACGTGTGTTAACGTTAATTTCGTAAGCTTGACCTCATGGTAAGATAAACTGTTTAGTTGACCTCATGTGTTAATTAACATCAAATTATCTTCAACATATATTGAGGTGCATTAATTTACTTTATTGTTCTTTGCAGTTTTTGCCAGAGTATGTGGAATATGCAGAGCGCATCAGAAAATCACTCTACTATGGCCGATTATCAGTTACAAACCGTCCCTCCCTGCCCTTTACAAGTTAGTTTTTGCACTGTTTTATTTCTGCTTTAATTCTCATAAAATTAAATGCAGTGATAGGTCTTCCTAACACTAGTTTATCATTTAGATATATAGGTACAACACCGCTTGTCAAGCACTCTTGCTTCCTAGGCCTGACTAAGAGGTCATATAATAATAATTCAGCAATGCACTTTTGACCCACCATGGTCTGGAAACTTAATTTAAACATTAGAATAAATGAAGTAGGCTTATCTATTACTGTACTTACTACACTTCCAAAGTAGTAAATATTAGAATTTTACTGGAACTGCAGAGCTAATCACTAGTCATAGCTAGGGTTAATTGTTAGCCAAATGCTAACAGTTAGCCTTAGAATCAAGGGATCACCACCGTGTAAATGAAACAAGTGAACATGCACTACAAACAACAACATCTGTGGCGACCAGGTAAACTATTTTGGCAAAAAAAGTCATAATTTTGATGGACTAAAAGAGGTGCCCGATCTGTTGCTGGTAAGTTGGTGCTGTATGTGTAGCATTAGATTTATTTTGTATAACATTTTTACCTCATGAAATCATAAAAGCATAATTTTTAAACTCAAACTGGACAGGATTTAAAATCTTGGCAGCCAGTTCTAAAACTAATACAGTCAGTTCCCTAACCACTACAGCATATCGACCTATTAAGATTAATCCAGCTAGATACACAGTATACATTAGGACCCCCGTATCCGCAGAGGATATGTTCCAAGGACCTGCCATGGATACCAAAACTGTAGAGAGTAGCAGACCCTATATATAAGTCCTATACATACTTATTATAAAGATTAATCAAGAAATTATGCACAGTAAGTGGAGAATTATCACTTTTTCACTGATGGGAAGCGCTTCACAGCTTCTCTTAGACTTTGAAGAACTGCCGCCTTTTCTACTTTCGTGCTTTGGGGCCATTATTATGCAAAATTAAGAGGTATTTTTGGGCCACAGTAAACTGTAGATAATTGAAACCGCAGATACCGAATCAGTGGGTACAGGAGTTCTACTGTATTTTAATTTATACTGGGGCCCCCATGATAGCTTTCCTAGGGCATAGAAATACGTATATCTAAATGGATGACTATTAATTCAATATAGTGTAGTGGTTGGAACACTAGCTTGTTAATTTTTTAGGACTGGCTTACCATGCATTCATATTCAGACCATTCTTCAAGTTATTTAAATACTGTATACTGTACTCTTAAGATATTTTTTTAATAACTTTTCACTTCATCTGTATGATTTGTACAGAATGGTTTTTCTTATCTTAATGTATATTCTCCTATTTAAACATCTTCCACGTCCACTGGTTTTATTCCATCATTTATATTTTTTCACCAGATATTAACTTATTCAGGTGCACTTGCTTTCTCATGCAGTATAGTCTGGGTGCCCCTTGTTTTATGCAGGTTTGCTTTATGCAGATTTACTATTATGCTAATTCTTATTTCTTTTGGTAATGGTGCGATATTCGTCATTACATAATGGGTACAGTTGCCATATTTTTTTTTTTTTTTTTTTTGTAGAAATAAGTGTTTTTGGCTTAATTGAGCTTATTACAGTTCCCATGGTCCTAAAATGCATCTACAGCATAAAAGAGGGACACCTGTACTGTACTTAGTCATGTTATTTTATTTATTGTTGTTATACAGTGGACCCCCGGTTTACGATCAGCTCCCAATGCGACCAGTTATGTAAGTGCATTTGTGTGTGTATGTTTGGGGGTCTGAAATGGACTAATCTAATTCACAATATTCCTTATGGGAACAAATTCGGTCAGTACTGGCACCTGAACATACTTCTGGAATGAAATAATATCGTAAACCGGGGGTCCACTGTATTTTGCATAACTACTTCCTTTGTTTTACACTTCATGGGGATAGGAAAGACTAATAACTGTAGTGTAATAAAACCCTTACAATAAAGAACTAAAGTACATAAACAGAATGATAAAAAAACAATAGAAACTTATTGAGAAAGGCAAAGCCTTTGGTCATATTGTTTTTATTATCCATTGATCTTTGAAAATCTACTATATATAGTATTGCCCTTTTTTTTTTTTTATTAAAAAATGTGGCAATAAGAAATTGTCTTTAAAACTGTCTTGGATATATGTAACAGGTTCAAAGTTTCATTACCTAAATCTCCCCAAATGTTATTCAGTAGTTCAAATGGTTGCATACAGGCTTATGTTTCACCATTTTTTTTTTTTTTTTTTTTTTTTTTTTTAAGAATCTGTTTTAGGGAACAGTATGTACATACTAGATGAACCAGTTTTATTTTAATACAGTAATTTACTCAGAAAAACCATATGTATTTACATTTATTCACAACTATGAATTATGTCTGTGCACTTCTGGCAAGACATCTATTGAATGAATGATAGTGATTTTTTTTTTTTTTAAGATTGTCTTTCCTTGGTTGGAGATGGCCAAAATGTTAAAAAAAAAAAAAAAAAAACTTGAATTGCTATTGCATAATGTAATGGAATAATTGCTGAGACTAATTAGGCTGGTAGACAGCAACTATCCTGGGAGGTATTGAGGTACTAATGTCCTGTCATATGAATTGAACAAAAGCCTGTTTAAAGTTTTGCTCTAGTACTGTAGGATTCTTGGTGTTTTCTTTGTTTCATAAACATAAAAGATGGCAAGTAAATTTAATAACTTCTACTTAGATTCAGCATACACATCTTTACTGTTTGTGTGCAGAATTTTATCATGTTTCAAGCCTTCAAATATTTTAACACTGGTTAAAGTGCTTAATGATCAGTGGGGTCTAATGCTTTTCAAATCTTTAAAAAAAATAATAGGTGTATTATGGTGATATGTATTTACAGTATGCTTCATTAATCAAGTTTAACAATAATTACTCATTCATACCAGGCTTGTCCGTTGAAAAATTCAGTGAATTGTGCCGCCAAGATGGATTGGAGAAATTGGATTTGCGTTATGCTTCTTCTATGTGTTATGATGCTTGTGTGACTCCATGTTCTCTCATCCTTGCCCTGGTATACCTTGACCGCCTTCATTCTCGTAACCCTGAGTATTTGACGAGCACTTCACCAACACAAGTCTTCTTAGTAGCTATGGTGAGTTATGATGTGTATGAAAGTTAGCCTCTGGACACCAAGGTAAGTTACAAAATATGCAGGTATCTCTTAAGAGATTGTCTTGCACAAGGTAGATACACAGTATCATGATTATCAGTCAGTAGTGAGTAGCTGCTGATCCTTGTGTATAAAGGTATATTCAGGATTCATGTCATGTTATTAAAAATGAGAGGATTATTTTGATCATCTTGCTATTTTTCACTGATCAGAGATAAAATTTATATGACTAGTCTGCAACCACATATGTACATAAATTATTATAAAGCTTTGCTCTTGTTCAGTTGGTATTATTTAATTTATATAGTACCTGCTTATAAGGTTTCACATTGTTTTGTCAGACTGCATACTCTTAACGATTGGGGGGTCGACAGGTCCTCTCAGAGACTTGTTCTCAGGGTCCCCCAAATTTCAAAAAAAAAAAAAAAAATCTTATGAAAAGATAGAGAATCTTTTCCCGATCATAATGACACCAAAAGTATGAAATTTGATGGAAAACTTACGGAATTATGCTCTCGCGAAGTTAGTGGTCTCGACGATGTTTATGCATCGGTGATTTTGCGCACTTTGAGCCCTATTTTCGGCCAATTCCAGTGTACTAGTCGACAAAAATCATAACTATTTCGCTAAAACTCCATTTTTTCTATCGAATGAGTACAAGAAACCACCCATTTACTGATTTGAACTATCCAATAAAGTGGTCAGAATTTAGCAATTTTGCCAATTTCACACAAATTTCAAAAGATGCCAATTTCCGAATAGGGTCCAGAATAAACAAGAAAGACATTCCTGGCACTAAAATAACAAGTTCTCTGTTCGTTAATCACATCCCCAGGCCCCTCATATTTCTTTGGCTTTCCACTTTGAATTTTTATTCTTACAAAAAAAATAAGATTTACTGTTATGCAGACTGCTGCATTAGTGTAGAAATGGTATAAATAATATCAGCGTACTTGTGAAAGAATATTAGACTCACCAGTTGATGTGTATTGGACGCTTGGCATCATTTGTTTACTTTTGAACTTTGGTAAAAATCGAACATTTCTGCTACTTTGAGCTCAATTTCAAGGTACTTTTCTTTGTAAACCAGTCAAAATCATCTCAATTTCTGTAATATGTCTTCCATTCTATAAAATGAGACCAAGAAAACTAGAATAAAACAATAAATACCATGCGAAAATACAGTGCAAAATCGCTGTTTTAATCCAAAAACACGGTCAAAGTTTTTTTTTTTCTCATTACGCACTGTGTGCTGCAGGATTTTTTTTATACTGCGCACACTGACCACATAGACCCATTCTTACATATGTAGGCCTACCAGCTTTCTCTCACTAGATTTGAGGGCGCTAGAATTTAGGCATACTAGTACGTCAAAAACCCTTAGTCGTAAGACGTACTAGTACGTCAATAAACCCCAAAGGGTTAAAAATCCTTCCTCGTCTCTACCACTTACGAAGTTTTCCTATATCATTCTTTTCAAAGATTTGAAATTGTTGGCTCTTGTTTTGTCTATTTCTGGTTCTAAAATGTCATCTTTATCTGATTGCTCTTCTTTATAAACACACATGTTTAGTTTATAATTTTTTTCCTGTTAAACAACTTGGGTATTTCCAGTATCTTAAATCCATATAATTCATATTTTGTAACTTATTTTGTTGCACGTATTTGAAATTTACTGTTTTTAATATTATTTCCAAGTTATGCATGGGTACTATATTGCAGTATTCTTCAAGAGAGGAGCCTTGTTCCTGGTGAAGGGCTCTTGATCCAAGGAATTGGACCTGTTCTTCCTTTCCTTGGGTCAAACTTTATTGCCTCCCATTTCCCAGGCACTGTATGACCCCTAAATATGTAATGCTTCTTTATAATAATAATAAGAATAAAAATATAGTAACATTCTCATGTTGAATCTTACCATTTCTCCATGCCTATGCAGTACAGCATGTAAAAAGCTAATGATAAATATTATTTATGATCCTCTACCAGTGTTAATGTTGAAGTCATAGAATGAGCCATTTTTCCTCATCATTGCTAGTGTGATTATATCTACATAGCCATTTTCATGTTTTCTTGAACTGAAAATTAAATTACTGATTTTTCATTTGTAGGCTGGTAGGCAGTAACCATCTAGTGAGTTGCTACCATCCTGTCATATGAGTGTTAAATGTTTTGCACTCCAGTAGGAGTGTTCATCTTTTCTTTGTCTCTTGAACATGTAAAATGAGAAAACTTGTATACTACTACTAACATTCAGTACACTTTTTTTGTGCATTTCTTGATAGTACTTATTTCTGAGACTGGGCAGCAAGAACAATGATTTGCTGAATCATTAATGCATGTTTCACTTTTTTTTTGTCTGATATTATGCAAATATTAGCTTTTCAAAGCTTCATACCTACACCTAATGCTTTTATATTTGTTAGTTTTTTTTTCTTTAAGTAAATCAAGCAGGTGTCATTGCCTCCCTCATGGTAACCCAACAAACGTGTGTCTTTCATTAAATAAGTTCACATATCTTCTTGGTGTGGAGTTAATAAAAGTATTAGTTAGAGGGCAGAAGAGGGGTTGTTGAGGTGGTTTGGTCATTTAGAGAGAATGGATCAAAGTAGAATGACATGGAAAGCATATAAATCTATAGGGGAAGGAAGGCGGGGTAGGGGTCGTCCTCGAAAGGGTTGGAGAGAGAGGGTAAAGGAGGTTTTGTGGGCAAGGGGCTTGGACTTCCAGCAAGCGTGCGTGAGCGTGTTAGATAGGAGTGAATGGAGACGAATGGTACTTGGGACCTGACGATCTGTTGGAGTGTGAGCATGGTAATATTTAGTGAAGGGATTCAGGGAAACCAGTTATTTTCATATAGTCGGACTTGAGTCCTGGAAATGGGAAGTACAATGCCTGCACTTTAAAGGAGGGGTTTGGGATATTGGCAGTTTGGAGAGATATGTTGTGTATCTTTATATGTGTATGCTTCTAAACTGTCGTATTCTGAGCACCTCTGCAAAAACAGTGATAATGTGCGAGTGTGGTGAAAGTGTTGAATGATGATGAAAGTATTTTCTTTTTGGGGATTTTCTTTCTTTTTTTTGGGGTCACCCTGCCTCGGTGGGAGATGGCTGACTTGTTGAAAAAAAAAAAAAAAAATCTTGGCCTTTTTGATAGCAACAAAATTTGAACCTTGTGTGATTATGTATGTGTACCATAGTATTGTACATGAAAACTCTCAACAAAAATTTCATAGGTGTTGAAAAATCTTTGTGCAGTAATCTAACAAAATTAAGTCTCTTCCATAAAATTTGGGTAGTTCCCTAGATAGATTTTCTCAGTCTCCTCACTGAACCATAAGCTATGCCCCTCCAACCTTATACTGTTCTTTCTCAGCAAGTCCTGTCCACTAGGTAACATTTTTCTTACTTAATTATTGTTTCCAAAATATTGACAGTATTTCCAAATACTGTATTGGCAGTTTGGAGGGACTTTATTATAAACTGTTGTATCTGAGCACCTCTGCAAAGATAGTGATTATGTATGAGTGATGGTGAACATGTTGAATGATGATGAAAGTATTTTTCTTTCTCTTTAGGTCACCATGCCTTGGTGGGAAACGGCCGATGTGTTAAAAAAAAAAAAAGTTCGAGAAAATTTGCATTAATTTTAAATATGTACTAGTTTGATATCTACCAGTATAGTACATCATAATTACAGAGTAACTATGCATTCCGGTGCCTTTCCTGATGAGATTTCTACCCTAGGTGTATTTGTACAGTTGTTGAACACGGTGATTGATAAAAAATGAGCAAGTGTTTAACCCTTTCAGGGTCGGAATCTTGATCTGAAACTTGCTCTCACTCAGAGAATTAAAAAAAAAATATATATGAAATTATAGAAAAAAAATTTCCGAAGGTAATGAAACCAGAAGTATGAAAGTTTGTTGGAAAACTTATGGAATTACACTTTCGTAAAGTTAGCAGTCTCGGCAATATTTATGCAGTGGCGATTTCACCCACTTTAAGGGAGGATTGAGGGTTCCCGCGCGCGGAGCAAAAAAAAATTCGAAAATATATGAAAACTGAGTTATTGTTACCAAAAAATAGCTGAACTTTCTGGCTACACGCTGGTATAATTATTATCCTTGTACGATGTTTCTAAAAGGAATTACAGCCATTTATAAAAGGCATGGTGACAGCGCTGACGCAACATGTTGCGTAAGAAGCGCTGACTCAGCTTTGTTGACGTTTTTGTTACGTTTTTCCCCGTGTTATTTTTATCGTTTTCGTACATCTTTTTATGTCTAATATAATACAAATTCACCATCTGAGATCATTCCCGAGTGGGCGGAGCTACTATGGTCGCAGTACCAATCGGGAACCCCTGGGAATAGTGCACAAAATGGCCGACACCTCCAGCCAACAAAATATTCCATACCCACGCTAATATCAATTATAAGGCTTATTTATCTATCATAATTGATCTATTATGATATAATGCAATATAATAATAGCATATAAACATAAAAAGTACACCTCAAAAAAAAATATATAGCATAATATGACGCCCCAAGGAATAAATTTCTATCGCTATTTCCCCTGAAGGTGAAGAGAGGGTCCGACCTCTCTCATCAGCGATGAGAGAAAACGTATTTACAATGGTTAACTGTAATAAACACTCGTAGGCCGCGAAAAAAGTGTAAAATAAAGCGAATTTTTCGGGGAAAAAAATTGTTCCCGGGCAGCGGGGGTGCCGCGCGCTTCGGCCTATATCTCGAAAGTAAGTTATTTACCTATAAGGCAAGTTACAGCTTCATTTATGATTGAATTGACTTGATTTTCACAACAAACATAGGAGAATGATTGTTTTACGGGGAAGCGTTCGTGTTTCCGAACTATCCAAAATATTTTTAGATTTATGTGGACAACAAGGCCGACATCTTCCAATATATCAAAAAAGTTATGAAACTTTATTTTTTTTTAGCAAGAAGATAAGGTTTATTTTAGAATTCTCATCGATAAGTGTTGGAATTAGAGTTGTTCTAGCAGCAGCAAGTGTCAAAACCACTTGTCCAAGTACCACTGACAAACTGTGCCCTGCCAAATGCAATTTTTCGTAAATTTTGCATATTTCATTTCCTTTTTGGCCGATATGATTGAAACTTCAGCACAGCATACTCGATATAACCTTCTAATAGTACACCAAAAATGAACGTAATCGGTCCATAAAAAAAAGGTCGTTAAAATGCGGCCAACATCTCCCTGTTTTCAGCCAATTCCATTGTTCCAGTTGACCAAGCTCATAGCTGTTTCACTAATATTTCTTATATTCTGACACTTGAGTACAAGAAACCACCCATTTACCTGTTTCAACTACTCAATAAATTGATCAGAATGGTAATTTAGCCAATTTCACACAAAATTAAAAAATTGACAATTTGAAAATAGGGTTCAGAATAAACGGTGTAGACATTCCTGTCATTAAAAAACATTTCCTCTGTTCATTAGTTACATCCTCAGGCCTCTCTTATATTACACTTGCTTTCCATTTTGATTTTAGATTACTGCATTATTGTAATAAGTGTATAGACGATGTCAGTGCATTTGTGAACACGTATTAGACCAACCAGTTGGATGCATATTGGATGAGAGATGTAATTTGTTTACTCAGGAATGTCTGCAGAAATTGAACATTTCTGCTACTTTGAGCTCAGTTTCAAGCTACTTTCTGTCCTAAAACCAGTCAAAATCATCTCTGCTTCTGTAATATATCTTCAGTTCTGTCGAATGAGAGCAAAAAACTGAAACTGTAACCATAAATACCATATGAAATACACCACAGTGTCGCTGTTTTAAACTAATAACACGGTCACAGTTTATTTTCACTATGCACTGCATTCTGTAGGATTCTTTTTTATGGTGCATAGTTACCATATAACCCCATTCTCTCATATTTAGGCCTAAATTTACTGCTCCCAGCTTACCTGAAAGAGCTGAACTCATGACGTAGAATAGTGGGACTGACCTGGGCTTCAAAACCGTAGTATAATGGGACCCACCCCAAAAGGGTTAAAAAACAAAATTGTGTAGTGAAAGTACAATATGTATTCAGTAGGGTACAGATATGAATACAATAACTGAATACAGTATGTAACTAACACATGAACATATTCTAAAGAATCCCCACACCTTGTTAGGTAAGGCAAAGTGGTGTTTATTTAGTTGTATAATAAAACAAGGAAAGATGTATGGAAAAGTCTCCTGCCAGCTGCTTCCATTTTATTATCAACAGCCTTAATATTGTGATTTGGGAGGTGTGCTAATCCCCTGTTGACTCTGGCTTTAGTTTGGTCAAAAGTGTCATGTAGCTGACTACTTGTTATTACCTCTGCTAAATGTGACATTGTTAGCTCCTCGTGCATAGATCTTATGAAATGTTAAGCAGACAATTCAGATATGTATTGAAGAGCTAGCATACTGTACAAATCTGCAATCTCTCACTAGTGCTGTGAGCCAAAGCCAGAGTTGTCAGCTCTCTCCATATCTCCCAGACAGCCTCTCACAACTTATTACCACATATACTTTCATCTTTAGTGTGTATTTGGTATAGGTGTGCTGTGTGCCTATTTGCTTGGTACAGTTTAGTAAGAAAGTAGAGTAGACCCCCGGTTTTCGTAATTAATCTGTTCCAGAAGGTTGAGTGAAATCCAAAATGGCCTAAAACCGAAGTAATATTTCCTTTAAGAAATATTGTAATTCCAATTAATTCGTTTGAGACACCCAAAAATATTAACAAAAAAAAAACATTTTATAGAGAATTTTATATAGTTTTATATAGTTTTACATACAGAAAACAATGAGAAATAAATATAGATGACTAATTTTAATGATAAATGAACATTATGTACCTTTATTGAAGATTTGTTGGCGAGTAGTATTTATTTGTAGTCCCAGCAGACTACATCCCAGTGTATACCTACCGGCTACACACACTGCGGCCTTCAGCCATATTATTACCATAGACAACTATTGTTTCTAACAACTACCTTTAGATGCCATCATAAACAAAGGGAGAAGTAATGAATAATTCATGCCGAGAATTGTAAACAAAGCTTATATATTAAGGGCGGTTAGTGGGCCAATGCAGATTCATACAGTTTTCTCTAACGCTGGACCAGAGAAAACGTAATGTTTACCTTCCACCGCATATAATGATTGCAGGTTTATATGCTATGTAATGTGTTTCTTACATAATTTTGAAGAAAATATTAACCTAAAATAAGACATTTAATGTGCCAAGAGTGAGTCACGAACGTATGAACGGCCCAGGCACGTGCATCTGGTACCAACAATTTCTGAGGGGATATACAAAACCCGGGGGGAAATTTCGCCGAATAAAGACGGGAAATACGAATTGTACAATTTCCGCACTGGCCGAAAACCTGGGGTCCACTGTATGGCTTTTATTTTAACAATTTAAGCCTGTACTTGGTGCATTAGCTAATCAACCTCCCAACATCTAATTCAGCCCAGTAGACCCACATTAACCCTCCCCACATTCTTCAAATGCTTCGAGTATCCGAGGTTAATTATACTGTGGTAATTTTGAATGTATAATAGATTTTTTTTTTTTTTTTTTTTTTTTCAAATTTGGAGGTTTTTGAAATGTAACTCAATATTTACCAAATGTTACATGGCATTGGCATTTAGAAACGTATTCTGTGCATTATGAGAGGATTTACTGGATATAGGAATGTTTTAAACTTTTATGCATCACAAATAATTAAGTAAGCAAGTAACTTTTCAGATGGTGGCAAGCAAATATCTCTATGATGATGGAGAGGAAGATGAAGTTTTCAGTGATGAATGGGCCATGTCTGCTGCTGTACCTCTTAGTGACTTCATTCAAGCAGAAAAGGAGTTCTTAGTTGCCATTGTAAGAGTTTTATGCTGCATACTCGTCCATATCACTCTTGAATTTGTTAAAAAATATTTCATTAAATTATGTTAATTCTTTGGTCTCTTGTATTTTTTCATTACTGTTGTATACACATTAACAAGTTATTTTTGCATAATTATTATGCAATATTATCAGGCTGTGCTAATCCTTATGTGCTTTTTTTTTTTCTTCATAATTTTTCTCATTCTTCCTTTAAATTTAATAATTATTATTTGGATCTTAATTTTTCAACACCATGGAGGAAGAAGAAAAGCTTGCTTTTCTTTCATACTGTCTTTTCTTTGGCTACACTATACACACTGCTGCCTCTTTGTGATCTGCATATTTTTAACCCAATAGCACTTTTGTTAGGCACAGGTGTCCTTCACTTTTATGTTCAAGATGTGGTCCCAGGTCCAAGAAAACTGTACTAAGCTCTATCAGGCAATCAAAATTTAATTCCACCTAAAGAATTACTGCTAGAAATGGGACATCACATAATAGCACATTCACAAAAAGCAAAACTGTATAAAGTGAGGAAAACTTGTACTAAATTCAAAACAATGTTCCTCTTTTTATCTTGATACTGTTGTACACTATATCTTCAGTAAACTTTCCTGAATATAGAATAAATTACCAAAATAAAATGCACTTGTTTATTACATTATTAACAAAATATTTCTCTTCATTCCATAGTTATTTACTGTAATAGACATATTGTTATGTGCTTATTATAATACATCACCAGTAAAGCAAAAGCAAGTATGTACACTGATGTAAAATTGCAAGCTTTTCAAGAACGATAGCTGTTAGTTCCTAAATAAAAAATCTGAGCTTATTTAAAAGTTAAAGGGGAATGAGGTTATTAACTCTTTGATTGTTTTGGTCGTATATATACGTCTTATGAACCACTGTTTTTGACGAATATTTACTCATAAATTCTAGCGGCTTCAAATCAAGCAGGAGAAAGCTGGTAGGCCTACATGTGAGAGAATGGGTCTGTGTGGTCAATGTGCACCATATAAAAAAAATCCTGCAGCACGCAGTGCATAATGAGAAAAAAAAAAATCTGACTGTTTTTTTTTTTTTTTTTTTTTTTTTTTTTTTTTAATTAAAATGCCGACTTCGTGGTCTATTTTCATATAGTATTTATGGTTGTATTCCCGTTTTCTTGGTCTCATTTGATAGAATGGAGAGTTGGAGGAGGTCTTGCTTCTCCAGGAGGAGATTAGGAGGCTGAAGGTTCACCTCAATGGATCTGGGAGAGAGTGTGAGGTGGCTGGAGTTGTGGGGAATGAGGCTTCTAGCAGTGAGGTGCAGTCTGTCTCTCGCTGTGAGGAGGCTGTAGGTGGGGGGGTAGCAACGGCTACCAGCAGTGAGGTGCAGTCCAGCACCTGCTACAAGTGGCGAGTGGTTCACAGTAATGGGAGGCGCATCAGAGTAAGGAAAGTTAAGAGTGAAGATCTGAAGGTAGGAAATCGCTTCTCTGTTCTTCAGGATGAATGTACTTCAGTGGCCAGTGAAGGTAAGGGTACTACTGCCCCTGCTAACAGAGGTAAGTGCATTCTTGTGGTTGGTGACTCTCAGGTAAGATATATTGACCGTGCTTTTTGTAATAGGAATAAGAAGATGAGAGATAGTGTGCGCTTCCCTGGAGCTGGTGTTGGGGACATAGTTAACAGGCTGGATAATATCATGTCAGGTAATGGGAACAAGCCCATTATTTGTCTCAGTGCTGGTGGAAATGATATTGGGAAGGGTAGGAGAGAAGAGCTGCTAGGTAAGTACAGGTCAGCTATAGATTTCATTAAGTCTAAGGGAGGGGTCCCAATCATATGTAGCATCTTGCCTAGAAGGGGAGTAGGAAATGAATGGTTGTCTAGGGCAATGGTGTAAATTGCTGGCTAGACAGATACTGCAAGGAACTTGCAATCCATTCATTGACAACTGGAACAACTTTTATGGCAAACATGATATGTATGCAAGGGATGGGGGTACATCTCTCTGGGGCTGGGGTGGTAGCACTTGCAAACTCAATTGAGAAGGCCATTGGTGAATGCCTATGATGTTTAAACTGATAGAAGATAGAGGTATGGGTGTGTGTGGGAAACAAGCAGGTTGCAACACTAGGGTTGGAAACAGTAAATGTATAAAAGGCATTCAGCATGAAGTTATAAATAAAGACAATAGATCATGTCAGCAAACAAAGGGGGACAGCAGTGGACAGCAAGGGACTAGCTCCCTTAAGTTTACTATACTAATAGCAGGAGTGTAAGAAATAAGATAGATGAGCTAAGATTAATTGTAAGTGCAGGAAACATAGATATTATTGCTATAACAGAGACCTGGCTCAATCTGAAAGATAGAGAGATGCCCTCTGAATGTCACATACAAGGCTATAAATTATTCCACACTGACAGGGTCAACAGGAAGAGTGGTGGAGTAGCGATGTATGTCAGAGACAATTTAAATTGTTGTGTTAGACAAGATATAAAAGTAGAAGCGTCAGCCACTGAATCTATTTGGTTACAGCTTCTCGAGGGCCGAGAAAAACTAATTTTGGGTGTGATTTACAGGGCCCAAATCTTGATAGGGAGTGCAGTAAACTTCATGGGACGAAATTCGTAAGGCTTCTACATGCGAAAATGTTGTGCTAATGGGATGATTTCAACTATAGACAGATTGACTGGAGCAATTTGACAGGAAATTTAGAGTCAGGTGACTTTCTTGATACGATCCAGGATTGTTTTTTAAAACAGTTTGTGACAGAGCCAACTAGGGGAAATAACCTCCTTGACTTGGTTCTTGCCAGTAGGGAAACACTAATTAATAATCTTGAGGTTAATGATGAGCTTGGGGAAAATGATCACAAATCACTCAGTTTTAATATATCATGGAATTTCCCTAATAATGGCAATCAAGTCTCCATCCCTGACTTTCGCTTGGCTGATTTCATAGGACTGAAAAATTACTTAGGTGGGCTGAACTGGAATGACCTGACTAAGGGTCAGGTAGGTGGTGATGGTTGCCAATATGATGCTTTCCAGGGCATAGTACTAGCTGCTCAGTCAAATTATTTTCCAAATAGGGAAATCAGATCAAACAAAAATGATCCTAAATGGATGAACAATAGATTAAAATATCTGATTGGTCAAAAGAGAGGCATATATAGGCAAATCAAAAGAGGAGAGGGGCAATTAAGAAATCGTTATATTCAGTTAAAGAGAGAAATAAAAAAGGGAATTAGAAAAGCAAAGAGATTATGAGGTTAAAGTTGCAAGAGAATCGAAGACTAACCCAAAAGGATTCTTTCAGGTTTACAGAAGTAAGATCAGGGACAAGATAGGCCCACTCAAAAGTTCCTCGGGTCAGCTCACTGACAGTGATAAGGAAATGTGTAGAATTTTTAACACATACTTCCTCTCAGTTTTTACACAGGAGGATACCAGCGATATTCCAGAAATGATAAATTATGTAGAACAGGACGATAATAAACTGTGCACGATTAGGGTCACAAGTGACATGGTCCTTAGGCAAATAGATAATTAAAACCTAACAAATCCCCAGGCCCTGATGAACTGTATGCAAGGGTTCTAAAGGAATGTAAAGAGGAGCTTAGCACACCTTTGGCTAATCTTTTCAACATATCACTACAAACTGGCATGGTGCCAGATAAGTGGAAAATGGCAAATGTGATACCTATTTTAAAGCAGGTGACAGGTCCTTAGCTTCGAACTATAGACCAATAAGCCTAACCTCCATAGTGGGAAAATTTATGGAATCAATAATTGCCGAGGCAGTTCGTAGCCACCTTGAAAAGCATAAATTAATCAACGAATCTCAGCATGGTTTTACAAAGGGCGTTCCTGCCTTACGAATTTATTAACTTTTTTCACTAAGGTATTTGAGGAGGTAGATCATGGTAATGAATATGATATTGTGTATATGGACTTCAGTAAGGCTTTTGACAGGGTCCCACATCAGAGACTATTGAGGAAATTAAGGCACATGGAATAGGAGGAGAAATTTTTTCCTGGATAGAGGCATGGTTGACAAAAAGGCAGCAGAGAGTTTGCATAAATGGGGAGAAATCAGAGTGGGGAAGCGTCATGAGCGGTGTTCCACAGGGGTCAGTGTTGGGCCCCTGCTGTTCACAATCTACATAAACGACATAGATGAGGGCATAAAGAGCGACATCGGCAAGTTTGCCGATGACACCAAAATAGGCCGTCGAATTCATTCTGACGAGGACATTCGAGCACTCCAGGAAGATTTGAATAGACTGATGCAGTGGTCGAGAAGTGGCAGATGCAGTTTAATATAGACAAATGCAAAGTTCTAAATGTTGGACAGGACAATAACCATGCCACATATAAACTAAATGTAGTTCTTAATATTACGGATTGCGAAAAAGATTTAGGAGTTCTGGTTAGCAGTAATCTGAAACCAAGACAACAGTGCATAAGTGTTCGCAATAAAGCTAATAGAATCCTTGGCTTCATATCAAGAAGCATAAATAATAGGAGTCCTCAGGTTGTTCTTCAACTCTATACATCCTTGGTTAGGCCTCATTTAGATTATGCTGCACAGTTTTGGTCACCGTATTACAGAATGGATATAAATGCTCTGGAAAATGTACAAAAAAGGATGGCAAAGTTGATCCCATGTATCAGAAACCTTCCCTATGAGGATAGACTAAGGGCCCTGAATCTGCACTCTCTAGAAAGACGTAGAATTAGGGGGGATATGATTGAGGTGATAAATGGAAGACAGGAATAAATAAAGGGATGTAAATAGTGTGCTGAAAATATCTAGCCTAGACAGGACTCGCAGCAATGGTTTTAAGTTGGAAAAATTCAGATTCAGGAAGGATATAGGAAAGTACTGGTTTGGTAATAGAGTTGTGGATGAGTGGAACAAACTCCCAAGTACAGTTATAGAGGCCAGAACGTTGTGTAGCTTTAAAAATAGGTTGGATAAATACATGAGTGGATGTGGGTGGGTGTGAGTTGGACCTGATAGCTTGTGCTACCAGGTCGGTTACCGTGTTCCCCTTAAGTCAATGTGACCTGACCTGACTAGGTTGGGTGCATTGGCTTAAGCCGGTAGGAGACTTGGACCTGCCTCACATGGGCCAGTAGGCCTTCTGCAGTGTTCCTTCGTTCTTATGTTCTTATATTATAGAAATAGAGGTGATTTTGATTGGTTTTACTATGAAAAGAACCTTGCAATGGAGTGCAAAGTAGGGGAAATGTTTGATTTTTGCCGATGTTCAAAAGTAAACAAATGATATCATTTTCCAATAAATGTCCAAGTAGCCATTCTAATATGCAGTCATGAATGGGTTGACATTATTAATACAATTATTACAATATTGCAGTAGTCTGCATAACAGAATCTTCTATTGTTTGTTTGAATAAAAATTCAAAATAGAAAGCAAGAGTACTATCAGAGGGACCTGGAGGCATGACTGATGAACAAAAAAAATGTTATTTTAGAGCCAGGAATGCCTGCATTGTTCATTCTGGACCCTATTTTGAAATTGTCATATTTTTTAATTTTCATGAAAATGGCCAAATTGTAAATTTCTGACCACGTTATTAGGTAGTTGAAATCAATAAATGGGCAGTTTTTTGTGCTCAATTGATAGAAAAAATGGAGTTCTAAAGAAATAGCTATGAGTTTGGTCGACTGGAGCAATGGAATTAGCCAAAAATAGGGCTCAAAGTGGGTGAAGTCGCCGATTTGTAAATATCGCCGAGGTCACTAACTTCGCGAGAGTGTAATTCTGTCAGTTTTCCATCAAATTTCGTTCTTTTGGTGTCATTACAATTGGAAAAATATTCTCTATCATTTCATAAGATTTTTTTTTTTTTTTAAATTTTGCGACACCAGGAGACACCTCAGGAATTGGGGTTGCGATAGTCAAGGGGTTAATAATTGCCTGTCAAAAAATTTTTTGTTAACACTAAAGGGAAGGGAGAGGGGATATTTGCTGTTTAGAGTAACATCTAAACTACCGTATCTGCATGCCTCTGGCAAGATAGTGATAGTGTGAATGATGGTGAAAGTTTTTCTTTTTCGGGTCGCCCTGCCTCGGTGGGTGGTGGCCAGCTTGTTAAAAAAAAAAAAAAAAAAAAAAAAAAAAAACTTATGTTCTTAGATATTACTATAATGATTCTGTAAAAAATGTAATACCTGTACACTAATCACTAAATATTGGTCAAAAATTCATCCCAAGGCTTAGGAAATGTATTGTGGGTCACAGCATGTATCATTTCCTTGGGCCATAACATAAACAATTCAAGTATGGTTGCCAGTGCACTGCTGTACACCTGATACCTGATAACTTTTTTTATTTCAAAAAATTTGCTTAAAATAGTCCGGGTCCTGCCATTATTAGGCACACTGCATATAATTTAACCGTACAACCCATATAGGTTTTGTACTTTTTATTATAATAATAATGGATGTAATTTAGCAGCTTGACATATTACTTCTACTATTTTATATTGTTGGAATTCACATTGCAAAAAAAAAAAAAAAAAACTGAATGGAACTTGTAATGCACAGTGTTTAGCATAATGTGCTTGCTTTTAACACCATTAGCACCAATACACAATGCTTGACTGAATGCTGTTTTGGGTACTATTGTAAAGGAAAAAAAGCACAACTAATAGATGTGCTAGAGATGATAATTATGTAAGATAAAATAGCATCCTCACTCCTTCCCACACCTTATTTTTCTCTCACATTTAGAATTCCTTATTATTGATGTTATACTGCATTCTTTTTCCTTATTTCTTATTAATACATGCTAAGGTAATTCGTGTCCCTATGATATATTCCTTCAGTATAAACAATTTATTCTTATTTGCTAGGCAAAGTATCACGTACTAAAGTTTTAATTAAATTAAATGATAGATTTTTAAAGTATGTTTTGTAACACTTAAGTTTGTTCAGACACTTAAAATTAAAGACAGTTTACTTAATTTAGCTACTAATACCTGTACTTTATTCTGATCACCATTGTCTTCACATTGTGAAAGTTTAATTAAAATTTTGAGTGAAAATGTTGATAACAAGGGAATTTTAGTCTCATTTTTCTGATCTTGTTATGACATTAGACTGTAGATTTTTTTTTTTTTTTTTTACTTTTCTGTTACTTATTTTTTCTTTTAGCTATAATGAAAATAATAATTATTAGTAAAGCTTAAAAACTCTTACATTATACAGTGTGAAAAAATAAGCTTATTATTTATATATGACTCATTTTTAAAAATTGTTCATCTTTGCTCATGTTACCTGAAAATGAGTGAGAAATAGAAAGACAGGTTAATGTAGTAAGAAGTATATCCCAAGATGAATTAATAAAAATTGTTTGTTACTCTTTAGATTTATATTTTAAATGCTGCATTGAAGTTTTTCCTTTACCTTCAAAATTATTGATACAGCTTATACTATTTAGGTATTCACAGTGCTTAGAACGGGACCTACTGTGTGTATGTCATATTTGGTTGTTATAAAATGAATTTTAATTTTTTTTTAGGATTGGAACCTCTTTGTTGATGCTGATGCATTTCTCCGTGCTTTTGAACGTGTTGAGAGTGAGATTGCATGGCGCGAAGGAGAAAGGAGAGGTTACTTCACATACACAGATATGCTCTCGTTGACACACACACTTCCTGTTTCCTGCACATCTCTTCTAAACTTGGTTAGTACATTGATATCTACTCATTGTGCCAAATGAGTTGCTTAGTTTTAATTGTTTGTCCAGTGCAAATTGGGGGTGCCATAAGTACTTGGAGAGCATTGTCACCACTTGAGGAAATCTACCAGACAAATAAATGCAGTGTGGATAGAGAAGGCAAGGACACCCTGGAAAAGTAGGTGAGTACTTGATATAAAAAAAGAAAAAAGTCAGGTACTCCAGTTTGTGATGAACATAATTTTTCCCTCTTTCAGGATATACACTGTAAACTGTTGGTTGTGCTCAGGTTTAGCAGGATTTTTGTTTTTTAACACTTTCAGTGTTGTGACCCCTGCTTGCAGACTTGCTCTCAGGGTCAAATAATTTTTAAAAAAATTATTTTTTCATATGAAATGATAGAGAATCTTTTTCCAAAGGTAATGAAACCAAAAGTGTGAAATTTGATGGAAAACTTGTGGAAAGACGCTCTTGCAAAGTTAGCAGTCTTGGTAATATTTATGCATCAGCGATTATGCCCATTTTGAGCCCTATTTTGGGCAAATCCCATTGTTCTAGTTAACCAAATTCATAGCTATTTCACTAGTACTCCATTTATTCTATCGATTGAGTACAAGAAACCACCCATGTATTTATTTCAGCTACCTAATAGTGATCAAATTTAATTTGGCCAGTTTCAAAATAGGGTCCAGAATAAGCAATGGAGACATTCCTGGCACTAAAATAATGTTTTCTCTGCTCACTACTTATGTGTCCAGGCCCCTCTTACATTACACTTACTTTTCATTTTGAATTTTTATTCACACAAAAATAGATTTACTGTTATGCAGACTACTACACTATTGTAATAATTGCATAAATAATATCACTGCATTCGTGAACACATATTAGACCCACAAGTTGACATGTATTGGATGTGTGACATGATTTGTTTACTCTTGAACATGGGCAAAAATCAAACATTTCTGCTACTTTGAGTTCAGTTTGAGCCTACTTTCAGTCCCTAAACCAGTCACATCATCTCTACATGTATTGCTGTAATATATTTTACATTCTATCAAGTAAGACCAAGAAAATGAGAATTTTTTTTTTTTTTTTTTTTTTTCAACAAGTCGGCCGTCTCCCACCGAGGCAGGGTGACCCAAAAAAGAAAGAAAATCCCCAAAAAGAAAATACTTTCATCATCATTCAACACTTTCACCACACTCGCACATTATCACTGTTTTTGCAGAGGTGCTCAGAATACAACAGTCTAGAAGCATAAACATATAAAGATACACAACATATCCCTCCAAACTGCCAATATCCCAAACCCCTCCTTTAAAGTGCAGGCATTGTACTTCCCATTTCCAGGACTCAAGTCCGACTATATGAAAATAACCGGTTTCCCTGAATCCCTTCACTAAATATTACCCTGCTCACACTCCAACAGATCGTCAGGTCCCAAGTACCATTCGTCTCCATTCACTCCTATCTAACACGCTCACGCACGCTTGCTGGAAGTCCAAGCCCCTTACAGTCATAAAAAACATATGAAAGTACACCATAAAGCTCCTCCTGTTTTAACCCTTTGACTGTTTTCGACGTATAAATACGTCTTACGAGCCAATGTTTCTGACGTATATATACTCAATAATTCTAGCGGCTTCAAATCAAGTGGGAGAAAGCTGGTAGGCCCATATGTGAGAGAATGGGTCTGTGTGGTCAGTGTGCACCACATAAAAAAAATCCTGCAGCACACATTGCGTAATGAGAAAAAAAAAACTCTGATCGTTTTTTTGGAATAAAACGCCGACTTTGAGGTGTATTTTCGTATAGTATTTATCGTTGTATTCGCGTTTTCATGGTCTTAGTTGATAAAATGGGAAACATATTACAGAAATAGAGATGATTTTCATTACTTTTACGATGAAAACGACCTTGAAACTGAGCTCAAAGTAGCGGAAATGTTCGATTTTTACCAATGTTCAAGAGTAAATAAATCACACCACACGTCCAATACACGTCAACTGGGAGTCTAATATTCTTTCACTAGTGCACTGATATTATTTATACCATTTTTACAATAATGCAGTCGTCTGCATAACAGTAAATTTTGTATTTTTTGTATGAATAAAAAATCAAAATAGAAAGCAATAATAATATAAGAGGGGGCCTAGAGATGTGACTAATGAACAGAGCATATGTTTTTTTTAGTGCCACGAATGTCTACCTTGTTTATTTCTGGACCCTATTTTGAAATTGGCATCTTTTTTATTTTGCGTGAAATTGGCCAAATTGCCAATTTCTGACCACCATATTGGGTAGTCCAAATTAGTAAATGGGAGGTTTCTTGTGCTCATCTGATAGATAAAATGGAGTTCTAAAGAAATAGCTATGAGTTTGGTCAACTGGAACAATGGAATTGGCTGAAAATTGGGCTCAAAGTCGGCGAAATCGCCGATACGCACATGTCGCCGAGACCGCTAACTTCGCGGGAGCATAATTCCACGAGTTTTCGACCAAATTTCGAACTTTTGGTGTCATTACCATCGGGAAAAGATTCTCTATCATTTCATAAGAAAAAATAATTTTTTTTTTTTCAAAAATTGAGCGACATAGAATGACAGTTTCAGAGAGGGGCCTGAAACAGTCAAAGGGTTAAACCAAAAACGGTCACTTTTTTTTTTTTCTCATTATGCACTGCGTGCTGCAGGATTTTTTTTATATGGTGCACACTTACCACATAGATCCAGTCTCTCATATTTAGGCCCAAATATACCAGTCACAACTTACCTGAGTGAACTGATCTCATGGCGTCATATTATGCTTCCAGCACGGCTTCGAAGCTGTGATATAATGGGACCAACACCAAAAGGGTTAAACAAGCCACTTCTAATGTTAGGAGAAAGCAAATTTCTTAATTTTTCTTTTATTAATTTTTATTTTTTTTTCAGTTGAGCCATGTACTTGCAGTATGCATGGTTGGATACACTGCTGCTATTGTGAGTATTGTTGCTGGTACACTTTTAGCCCAAGAATGCAGTCAACACATAGTAACGGTAATGAGTCGTTTAACATCTGACATGATGATAAATGAAACAACCACGCCATGCCTTGAGAATATTACCAAGATATCATATTCTGATCAAGTGACAGACTCCCTAAGCTTCATAACAGGTTAGTCTTTTTTTTTTTTTTTTTCTTGTACTGACAGTCTTTGTTTGTAATATTGTATACAAGTTGACACCAGAGGTATTGGTTCATAATAGATGTAAAAAGCTAGTCTAACTGATCATAGAAAAACTTGAAACAGGGAGCAGAATAGCCTAATTATTCAGAAAATAGTGTCAAAAACCATTCATGGAATTAAAAGTAAAATGTTTGAAGTCAGAAAGTAGATGGAGACAAATTCAGGAAAGGAAATGCAGAAGGTTTATGGAGCAGGTGGTGATTACTGTATTATATTTTGTATTTGGGTGATATAAAGGGTGCACTTGAAGTATCAGGCCATGAAAATAGTTAAATGTATTTAATAACATGTGTAGAGAGAAAAGGCTTACATTATCAGTTGCTCCTTCAATTACTGCCCATTGTATATGAATTTGAAAACTTGAAATGGTAAAAAAAAATTATTTTATGCTCTCGTAGATCCCCTTTCCTTTATACAGATTCACTTTGTAAATTTATCATGCAATATCCTATTTGTCTGCAATTCAGTATGTGTGATGTACCATCACCATATGCAATCAGTACAGTTTGCAAAGTGTGTTGAAGATTCTTATTGTTTGTTATTAAGTGTTTATGGCTTGATTGAGCTTTGTATTGTTGCCAGGAGTCTGGCAGGTATCTACAGTGCAATACAAGGGGAAACCTGTATCTTAGTGGACAGTGTAAATATAGGGTTTACTAAGCTATTCTCCAAACTGTTCATCTGTTGCAAAAATTTTATAACTTGCATACATGCAGGTGATAAGAATCCAACTGCTTGTAGCTGCTAAAGTTTTCTGTAGGTATTGTCTTTTCACATTATAATTTAATTTTCTTCCCGATTACAGGTAATGTTGTAACAAGTTTGGATGAAGACAAAGATGGGAATATTAGCCTGATTGGCTTACCTTCTCGAGCAATCACCACGCTTACCACTTCCATCTTGCTGGCTATGTCTTCTCCAAGTACACTTCGTCATCACCAGCACCGACAGCACAGGAGTGGAAAAAGAAATTGTCGGGCCTGCCATTCATCCACTAATGACGAAAATTGTGATTCACAAACAGTAAATCTTAACTGTTTTGAATCTCATGACTCAAACTTGGACCCTACTGACACACGCTTGAGCTTTACTACAGGACATTACTGGCCGCCATCAAGTCACAGCCGTAGATATGGTTACCTTAACATTAATACCATTCTTTCGGATCTTTCTCATCTCGAGCTATCATCTGTGGATCCCCATGCAAGTGATCAAAAGGATGACTGGGTATACTCCAACCCTTGGATGATTCCCTGGCTGTCTTGGCATAGTGCACCTGTCTACAGTGTGTTTCACAACTTTTCTGGCATTGGAGCTCCAAATATGGCTAGTTTTAGGAGAAGTCAACATGACTGGGTAGATATGCTAGGAAACATGTGTAAGTCTATGCAGAAAATAGTAATTGATCTGATTCCACTTAAACATACTGCCACCCTTATTCCAGCACCTTTGCTCAGCAGAGTTGCTATGACCTACTCAGTCCCAGATCCTGTGCCTTGGTTACTGTAAACTAAATGGTGTTGATTGCATTATTGGGCTCCTTTTCATTGTTGAAAGGATTTTTTATCTTTGGTAACTAGATAAAATTAATATTTCCTGTGAAAATATAGCTTTAATAATCCTCTTCAGGAAGACTAGACCAGTGTGTGTAGCTTACAAAATTATGTTCTTAGTGTCAAAGCTGAATTAGTTTTTAACTTTCTAAGAAATTTAAGCTTTTAATAAATGCTTAGTCTTTAATACAGTATTTGCTTAGAAGATTTTGAATGTTTCCACTCATAATGGAAGTTTCCCTTAGACTTGAGATAAAGATTATAGAAATTAATGTAAGGAAGAACATGAAGATAGTGAAACAGGCTTGCTTGCAGTACACTGCGGTTCATGAATGAGTGTCACCAGATTGATCTCAGAGTTATTATTGATACAGCCATCAGTAAATTTTACTGAATTTTTCAAATTCAGAGATGGAAAATAGTTAATAAGCACTAGTATGTAAGAGCTTTTGGCACTCATTACAATGTGTAAAATGTTGATATAAAATAGTTTGAAACTGTCCTAGTTCAATATTTTAAGTTTTTATTCTTTTATTAATCTAGGATCTTTGTCCAATTTATTTATTCTTAAATCTTTCATTCCCCCCCCCTCCCCTCCTTTTTTTTTCCTAAAGTGAATAGATGTTTCAGATATATGGAAAGACAGCATTGTCAGATTTTTATATTGTACTTGTAACTAAATTTATCAGGACTTTTAAAACTTATTTTATTCCACCAAACTTATATATTAACTACATATATGTAACATCATACAAGACAGATCACAGTCAGCAGGAAAAACTCCTACAGGAGACGGGCGCGTTCCAAATGAGTCACCCATTTGGCCCAAATGCCCAAAAGCTGGAAGCCTGGTTCACAACCCCTGTTTTTCCTCCCCCAGAAAAATCAGGAGCCCAAACTGAATTCAGGCTATTGCAGTCTCCTGTATGTTCGACTTCATAAGCCGACCTGTTTCTGTAGGGTGCATAGATATAAAATTCATTTGTGGGTCAGAACAAAAGGGAGGAGACTAAAATAGCCTGAATCCTGTTTAAAAGGCTCATGATGTTTGGGGCAGGAAAAACATGCTTTTGAACCAGGTTCCCCAGCTTTTTAGGCATCGGGCGAGGGGGAAGAGGTCATTTGTGAACCACCCCAGTCTCCTGTATGGATCAAATCCGCTGACGCGATCTTTCTTTTGTATACCCGCTTGTTTCTTGTGGTGCATTGATTTTTTTTTTTTTTTTTTTTTTTTAACAAGTCTGCCGCCTCCCCCGAGGCAGGGGGACCCCAAAAAAGAAAGAAAAAAACCCCCAAAAAAAAAAACTTTTCATCCCTTCAAAACTTTCACCCACCACACATTACACTGTTTTTTTTCAGGGGCTCAAATAAACATTTTTAAAACTACCATAAAAGATACACAACATATCCCTCCAAACTGCCAAATCCCAACCCCTCCTTTTAAAATGCAGGGATTTTGGGTTCTCATTTTTTTAGATCAGTCCGACTATATGAAAAACCCGGTTTTTCCCCGAATTTTTTTTCCCCCTTCCACTCCAAAAGATCGTGGTCCAAGTACCATTCATCTCCCCTCACTCCTTCCCAAAAGCTACCCCCGCTTGCGGGAAATCCCAACCCTTTCCCCCAAAAACCCCTTTAAAACCCCCCTCTCCAACCCTTTCGGGACGACCCCCACCCCGCCTTCCCTTCCCTATAGATTTATATGTTTCCATGTATTCACTTTATCCATTCTTCTAAAAACCAAACCCCCTCAACAACCCCCCTTTTCTGCCCTCTGACTAAACTTTTTATTAACTCCACACCTTTTTCCCAATTTCCCACTCCGAATTTTCTGCAAATATTTACACCAACATTGCCCTTAAACAGGACATCTCCCTGCCCCAACCTCTCCTCGCTGCCATTTTTTCCACCAAGCTTCACACCCCTATAAGAGTGTTGGTATACTATACTTTTCCTAACCTTCTTTTCTCCATAGATAACTTTTTTGACTCCACATATACCTCAACCACCATTCACCTTTTTTCCTATCAATTCTATGATTAACCTCATCCTCAAAAATCCATCCGCCACACGCAACTCCAATTCTGAAAACTTTCACTTTTTCCCCATACTCCCCTCCCCAATTTTGATACCCAATTTTTTTATCTAAATCATTTGATACCCAACACCTTATCTTTTCTATTTTTCACTTTAACTTTCTACCTTTTACACACATTCCCAAACCATCCCAAACCCTTTGAAATTTTTTTTTGAATCTCCCAAAGCACAGTACAAAAAAAAGAAACGGTCTTTTCCCTTTTTGAATTTGACCCCCAAAATTTTTAATCCCCCCCCTCCCCGAACACCCTAGCATTTACTTCCTTTCAACCCCTCATAAATATATTAAAAAAAAAAGGTGACATTACACTCCCTGTCAAGACCTACTTTTACTGGGAATAGTCCCCTCCTTCTACACACCCCCAAACCCAGCCTCACTTCCCCATAAAAACTCTTTACAGCATTTAAAAAACTTACCACCTATTCCATAACTTGCAACATCGCCCCATTTCTCCTCTATCCACTCTATCATATGCCTTTTCTAAAACCCCAAATGCAATAAAAACTTCCCTAAACCTTTTCTAAATACTGTTCACTATATGCCAATGTAAACACTTGATCTACACATCCCCACCCACCTGAAACCTCCTTGCTCTCCGCAATCCTAAAATTTTGTCTTCCCCTAATTCTTTCAATTATAACCCACCGACACTTTTCCCGGGAACTCAGTAAATTATTCCTCTATAAAATATTAAAAAACTGTGGCTTGACCAGGGCTCGATCCGGTTCTCATGCCCTCCGGAGAATGAACAAAAACGCTCACTCTCTCATTTGACCAGCAATCCCTTTAAAAACCAGGTGCTCAGCATACTGATGTGTTTTCCCAGAGCAAAGGACATCCATGGTCATGGAGCCTCAGAGACTAATTCCAGCCTCATCCTTTTTGGTGTACCAGCCTTCACAAGCAGTCTATATATTAATGAAATCATGAAACATGTGATTTTAAATTATTAACAGAACTGCAGCTTGGCCAGGACTCAATCCTGCATTCCAGTGCCTGGCCCTGTGCGAACTAATTATAATCAAAAAGAAGCGCTAAGCCACAAGGACTATACAGCATGTGCGAACTAAAAGTATGCATCACTCCACTTGACCAACAAATATGATCATGGTTAATAAGTAGCCCCCTTTCTTTTTTTTTTTTTTTTTTATAAAAATATTAAAAAAGTGTTTTAACAGTAAAGCATTTGAATTAGACACAATTCACAGTGATAATGTGTTGAGAAATGTTCAGCACCTCTTCCCTCAAGGAAGGTTCCTTGATGTTGGTGAGGGGCTCTTGATTTAGGGAATTGGATCTGTGCTCCAGTTCCCCGAATTAAGCCTGAATGCCTTCCACATCCCCCCCCAGGTGCTGTATAATCCTCCGGGTTTAGCACTTCCCCCTTGATTATAATAATAATCAGCACCTCTTTGCCAGGACTGCTGAGTCACACAGATTGCCAAATCTTGATAGGCTGTCCTGTCTCTTGGAGAGCATGCAGAATTCACTTTCGACATCACCCTGACCTGTCTTAGTCTTTCATGTCTTTAAGACAAACCTAAACTAATGCATCAACATTGACTTCAGTTTTTGCCCCCACCTCTAACCCCTACCCTTGCACACCTGTTATGAGCACTGTAACCCATTCATGTTCAGTGCATGTTCTCAACATATAATAATAATCACGGTTGCATCAAGGTATCTTACTGTAAATGAGAAATGGGCTATGCTAGAGTTGTGATGGTTTTTTTTTTAACTTCAGCACTGCATAACCCCACATGGATCTAATACTTGATCACTATAATACTCCAGTTCCTTGATGTCCTCTGAAAGTTCTATTTTTAATGCAAACTTGATTTTACTGAGACGGCACCTGTTTGACTGCTTCCTTTTATATGTATTCATTCTTGCACTCTTGCTACAAATGTCAGCACTGCTCTGGTATACAGTGTTGAATGACCAACACAGGTTTATTGCTCTTTTTAATAGAATAATTATTATTAATAAATATGAAAAACTTTTGTTTACAGGAACAGTGAGCATTTTTTTATTCATTTTAGGGTCTCTTGAGAGTATAATATGCTTATGGACTTCTTACAATCAGTAAAAGGAAAACAGAGCCTGCCAAACTTTTGAAGTTTCACCTACTTTTATTTAATGCTTTTTAAAGTGTAGTGACTGTTTTCAAGGATGATAAGCTTTGGTAGGTAAGACAGAGGCAACAGTTAGTAACTTTATTCCTAAACGTTTTGCCTACACAGTAGGCTTCTTCAGTCGAATACAGAAAGTAGGCAGGAACGGTAGAGACGTGAAGACGATGTAATCACCCGATGATAAGCTTTGCTGAACTAAAGAAAATGGCATTTGATGGCATCGTGTATATTAAGTACAAAATAAATAACTTTGATGCTTCCATTTCCACCAAATTTATCTTTATTTTTCTTACATGTTTATTTTATTGCCAAGAGTGCTGAATGATATACACGGTGAAAATTCTCTTCAAATTTCAAAATTGCCAACTGACTTACACCATTTCCCTCAAGGGAGGTTTCTTGATGCCAGTAAGGGGGCTCTTGATTCATGGAATTGAAACTGACCTCTTCTTCCTTGGATTAAACCTGATTGCCTTGCATCCTCCCAGGAACTGTGGCCCCTATGTATTTAGCACTTGTAATAATATTTTGCTGCCATACCAAAGCATGCTTAATCTTCCCACCGAAGCTAGGTTACCCAAAGAAGAACACCTCAAGGGAGGTTCCTTGATGCTGGTGAGGGGCTCTTGATCTAGGGAATTGGATCTGTGCTCCAGTTTCCTGAATTGAGCCTGAATGCCTTCCATCCCCTCCCCCCCTCCCAGGTGCTGCATAATCCTATGGGTTTAGCACTACCCCATGATTATAATAATAATAATACAGTGGACCCCCGGTTAACGATATTTTTTCACTCCAGAAGTATGTTCAGGTGCCAGTACTGACCGAATTTGTTCCCATAAGAAATATTGTGAAGTAGATTAGTCCATTTCAGATCCCCAAACATACACGTACAAACGCACTTACATAAATACACTTACATAATTGGTCGCATTCGGAGGTAATCGTTATGCGGGGGTCCACTGTAAACCAAAGAAGAAAATATCCACCATGTTCCTTAGTTGCCTTTCAAGAAGGTTTTCGTAATACTAATATATTTACAAGAAATTCTAAAGCTGTACATCATTCAGCACTTCATGTTAAAGAGTGCTGAGTGAATGTAATAATAATAATAATAACAGTGTGCCTCAACCCATGCAAGAGCCATAGCTGAACATCTAAATCCTCTAGAGGTAGAGGAGTATAACTAAACTGAGGAGATCTAGGAACTATATCTCAGTCTTCTAGGAGCCAGAGCTCAACATCATGAAGGCTCTTCAAGACTCCTACTTGATACTGGTGAGAGGCTTATAATCCAAGGAATTGGGCCTATCTTCCCTTAATTTGGATGAAACCTGACTTTCTTCCATTCCTTCATTTGCTATATGACCACCATCAGTTTGAAGGTGATCAGAAGAAACATTCTCCAGTTATCACATGGAAACCAATATCCCAATTTGTTTATTAAAAATGACAAATTGGAACTTACTG